TACGTTTTTTGTCCAATATATCCTAATAAAATTGAATTGTCTGCCACTAAAAGAAACACTATTCTTGCTCTGGTCTAGCTACAACAACCCTCCGTCGTCTGTGGCGTTTGGCTAGGAGCCTCCACCAATCTCTGTTAAAGCGAAAAAGAGGAAAACGTGACACATGTTTTTTCATATTATCACGTGAATGATTTGCGGTTTATTGGTGGTAACATTTTAAACAACGGTTGTCTATATTGACGTCTCATTACCTTATTCTAATACAGTGTTTATGAACGCTACTAAAAATACCAGGCTGTACGTCTCGTCCATTATTGGACAAAGATTGTCATGAAATGCCTGGAACAGCTTTTTGTTAAGTCGGGTCTGCTGCCAAACTGATATAGAGAGTTCTGGAATAGTAATTGATTAGATATGAAAAATAAGATCTAGTATAGGCCACACTTACCGTTGCGGTGCGGCTGCAGGCGACACTCCAAGTAAACAACGAAGAGGCAATGGTGAGCAGCATCTCTAACGCAGCCAAGAACACCATAATGCAGCACATAACTAATAAAACGATCCATTTCTGTAATAAAAAAGAAAACTGTTCTTGTACAGTCAGCAAATGCGTAAATATATATATATAAAAATGTTCGTTGAAAGAGAAAATATTGTTGAACAACATGGGTATTTGGTATATGATAATTATAATGTTTTGGGGTTTAAAAACTAACTACGAGAACATTGACATATTAGTCTGTGTGGTTACGGAAATTGTGCATGTACTCTACCAATATATGAATTGGGCTTTTTGTGACCCTTGCGCCAGTGTCAATAACAATACCAGTGTGTGTGTGTGAGAGAGAGAGAGAGAGAGAGAGAAAGAGAGAGAGAGAGAGAGAGACACGTAAAGAGAGAGAGAGAGAGAGAGAGAGAGAGAAAGAGAGAGGGGAAAAGTGAGAAACTAAGATGAGCACACATACTTGTACAGTAGGATTGGTATAAACATTACAGCTGACAGCTGTCAGATCAAGCACTGTGTGGTTACGGAAATTGTACATGTACTCTACCAATATATGAATTTGGATTTTTTGTGACCATTGTGCCAATGTCAATAACAATACCAGTGTGTGTGAGAGAATGAGAGTAAGAGAAAGAAAGAGAGAGAGACACACACAAACACACATAAAGAGAGAGAGAGAGAGAGAGGTGGAAAGTGAGAAACTAAGATGAGCACACGTACTTGTACAGTAGGATTGGTATAAACATTACAGCTGACGGCCGTCAAATCGAGCATTGAGAACGACATCAGTACCAATGCTGTGACAAAAACAGTTCCAAACGACAAGACGTGTACAACCACCTGAAATTGATAACAAAAAGTCAGTCGCAATTCTTAACTCAGCGCAACAGTATTTTATGGTTACCCAAGTTTTAAAGAAAAGGTAGATATTAACTCACATATAGAAATGCATGCTCGGCACCAACTGCATTAATCTCAACTGTTATTGTAATTGTTTTTTTTATATGTTATAAATCTTTATTGATTAAAGTTCATTTTAGAGTGTACTGATAAGGGTTTACTAACCAAACAAGATGGATTAGTCCCAGCAACTAGTCCAAGTATGCCAGAAATTATGAACTGGAAAAAACAATTTAAAAATGTAGCATTTATAGTCTTAATAATTAATATTTTGCGATATATGGAGTCTATTAAATATAGTTATTATGGTCGCACACGACAGACACACTTTTTTCAAGCTATGCTGTTTATACATATATTAATTCACTCGTCTTTCTATTTTTTGTTTTAAAAAAGTAAAAAAGTAAAATTGACTCTTGACCTAAAATTGACCTTTTATTGTCCATTGATTGTATTATTATTTTCATTGTTCTTCACACTATTTTGACCTTTTAACCTTTAGATAGTTGCCTAAGTGTTAAGGAAATATACAGGTTTGCTTAATGTGTAATGTATTTAAACATCTCGTAACACAAGCCATAGTATATCGTGGAGTGAAGGAGAAATTTTTTTTTTGTACAAAACGGTTGTGGATATGTATGGCTTAAAAAGAGTGTAGAGGAAAACTTATAAATAATTTTACAAACTTATAAATAATTTTACTTTTAGACTTTATTTGCCACACTAGGATTTTAGAGGATGAAGAGCTCGCTTTAACTACCTGCCCCCTATACAATGAATAAAATAATCTTTCAAGTAAAACAAAGCGGCCACACATATTTTACACATTTAAACAACATGAAAGAAAAATTCTTCAAAATGAACAACCCAAACGCAACAGTGATACATGTAATATCTTTGGCCAAATTCGTTTACCTCACTTTTGAGAAAAGAAACTGTGTTGCATCTTCCACTTAGAAATGTCTATGACCATAAATGGTATAAATTTTAATAATTGTATATAATATTAATAATAATAATAATAATAATAAGAAGAAGAAGAAGAAGAAGAAGAAGATGAAGAAGAACACACAGTGCATTGAAATGAATAATGAAAATGAAAACAAATAATAAACATCACGCCGAGAGCGACTTTCTTTTGTGCAGATCAGGTAACTAGTTTTTACTTTTTCTTTTTCTCAAACCTACCACAAACCCGCTCCAGATCCCGGCCCCAGTCCTCTGGTTCCACGTTGATGTGGAGCTGTCACAGTTCGTACTTGTCACATAGCCGTCCGCTTTGAAGTACTCGGGTAGCTGGATGATGAATGCTACCCCAAGCAGAAGGCACAGCACTCCAAAGACGATGTGGCAAATGTTGAGACACTTAGGTGGTGATCTAGTAATAATAATAATAATAATAATAATAATAATAATAATAATAATTGTTAACATATAAGAGTTGAATCGGATTGCTGAAGATCATGCAACGTACAGTGTACATGTGCATGAGTATGTGTTTTGAATTATGGAAAGACTGTTAAAAGTGCTGCAACTGTTATGAATTTGTCCCTCACCCTCAAAAGTTTATTTACCGACACCATGATTTACGTATGTTTGCCAATAGTTTGTGTGTATTTGTGTATGTGTGTGTGTGTGTGTGTGAGAGTGTGCGTCAGAGAGAGAGAGAGAGAGAGAGAGAGAGAGAGATGGAGAGAGAGAAAGAGAGAGAGAGAGACCATACCTCCTCCGCTCGCGTCCAGTGTATGGCGGTGGGGGTACCAGCGGCACCCTGTCGTCAGTTTCAGACATTTTCCCTAATTATTTGATAGCATAAAAAACATCCCCTAAAAAACCATGCGGATTAGGTCACATGAGACATACTTCGTCATTTGATCCCAACAACCAATCCCAAATATATGTGAACCACCTCGTTTTAATGTAAGTGCAGATAATGTCACAGATAAATTAAATACTGAGAGCGAGACTAGAATACGGAATGGTGGTTTCTGCTATCAGTTCAAGCGTTATCTGTCTTTGAACTTCAAATAAAAACTCGATTACTACCTGATGCGCGTTTGTTAACACAAAATAAGCATCAGGCCTCTTCTGATAAGAAGAAGTCGATGAGTATAGACTGCCATAACTATGAGTGTGATAAAGGTATATTGTTGTTTTCAGTGCCCTACCACCTGTACTGTAGATATACAACGCAATATGCTTTTTGGCAAATAAACAACAACCAGCACGTGCTTTTGAAATCGTAATGTCTTGTCACGTGACATTTGAGGAATCTTCCAGTTACTAACACTGCAGAAAGCTTGAGATTAGGTGTAAACGCGCATGCGTGATCAATGCATAACATTTAGAAAATGTACTTGGCAACTGCTTCATGCCCGTGGACGTTCAAAATCACACCTTGAAAATGCCAATAAAAGAAAAGAAATTTGCACAAAAACAAAACAAGCCAAACCAAACAAACAATCAAAAAAGCACAACTTCCAGATAAATAATCCCATCATGTATATTTCGAACTCGACGTGTATTTTAACAATATTTATCACTTCTTTAGGTTTGATCACAATTTAAAGGACCTACTTAGTATTATTATTATTATTATTAACAGTGTTCGACAGATAAAACAAAAGAATATTGCTAAATACCCCCCCCCCCTCTACATATGTATGAGTATCTGTAATGAATTTTGGGAATACTGTTGTAAGTGCTGCAACTGTTATGCCTTTGCCCCTTACTCTCCAAAAAGTTTAGATTATTTAGCGACACCATGGTTAATGTATTTTTGCCAATAATGTGTGTGTATGTGTGCATGTGCGCGTGAGAGAGAGAGAGAGAGGGAGAGAGAGAGAGAGAGAGAGAGAAAGAGAGACCATATACCTCTTCTTCTTGCGTCCGGGGTAGGGGGGTGGGGGAACCAGCAGCACCCTGTCGTCAGTTTCGGACATGTTCCCTAATTATTTGATAGCATAAAAACATCCCCTGAAAAAAACATGCGGATCAGGTCACATGAGAAATAGTACGTCATTTGATCCCAACAACCACTGCCAAATATACGTGGACCACCTCGTTGTAATGTAAGTGCAGATTATGTTACAGATATATTAAATACTGAGATCAAGACTAGAATATGGATGGTGGTTCCTGCTATCATTTCAAGCGTTATCAAATTTTGAACTTCAGCTAAAAACTCGAGTACCATCTGATGCACATTTGTTAACACGAAATAAGCACCGCTACTGATAAGACGAATTGGATGGATTAAACTAAATGCCATATCTGTGCGAATGATAAAGGTTTATTGTTGTCTTAAGTGGCATACAACCTGTACTGTAGATATACATTGTAATATTCTTTTTGGCAATTAAACAACAGCCAGCACGTCCGTTTGAGTAAATCGTGACGTCTTGTCTTGTGACATTCTAAGAAAGTTCCAGTTACTAACATTGCAGAGAGGTTGAGAAACGCGAATACGTGATCAAAGCATAACATTCAGAAAAAAGTACTTATTATCAGCTCCATGTCCTTGGGAGTTCAAAGTCACACCTTGAAAATAACAGTTAAAAAAGGAAAAAGAATCTTAAAAAAAATTAAACAAACAAACAAAGGAATGTATGTAAGGCAGTAAAAAAGGACTTTTGGGCGAAGGGTGACAATTTGATTAAGTTTGAACATAATTGAAAGGATCTACCAGTTTTCCTAGAAATGTGTTATCAGTATTGCTTATAGTAAAATATATGTGTATTCACATTGTAAATTCTACTGAAAATAATTAGATTAAACACTTTAGATTATTATTATTATTATAATTATTATTATTATGAAAGCACATACCGTACTTAAAACTGTCAGCTGCCTTCTTTATTTATATCAAACGTACTAAAAGAATTTAATTTTTGCACCTTTATTCGCATTAAATGTATTAAAAGCTAATCAATATTTTTTGCATCTTTATTCATATCAAAGCCTTGTGCATGTGTGTGTGTTTGTGTGTGTGTGTGAGAAAGAGAGAGAGAGAGAACGCGATACAGAGACAGGAAAAGAGATGAACACGCATACACGTACTTCACCGAGGTTGTTATAAACATTACAACTGACATTAGTCATAACTATTATGAACAATACCAACAGTAGAGCAGATATGGCAAAAACAATTGCAGATGACAACAGGTGCACCACCAACTGCAATTATAAAAACAGAAATGATAAATTTTATGGATCACTGAATAATTATAACACACATTTAAATAGACAGGTGTTATATTCACCGATGTAATTACTCAGTTGTATCAAGTGCTTTAATTTTTATCCAGCATATTTTCGCTCAAATATAC